ACCTCTCAGAGCTTTCCCCACAGATCTGGGAAGACTCATGCTAGCAGGAATCTACCAACTCTACCTCACAATTCTGTTGGTGTTAGGATTAGGATTAGGGATTGAGGGTTAAGGACATAGAGTTAGGGGTTGGGGTTTTAGCACTGGATAGGGTTAGGGTTGAGGTAGGGGTTGAGGTTACAGTTAAGGTGAAGGTCGATGCTAGAGGGTTAGAGTAGGTATTGGTTTAGGGATTGGGGCTAGGAAATGTGTTAGGTCTAGGCATTAGAGTTAGTATATGAATTGGGATTTATGTTCTAAGGTTGAGTAACATTTATGTCATGGTTAGATAGATGTAAGGGGTAAGTGTGGTGTTCTCTGTACATAGGATACTTGAATAATGGATACTATCAGCTGATGGACATAGTGTAAGCTCAACAACTTCAAGATCTAGGTCGCATTCAAGTTCATTGTCATCTCGTTTTTGTTTTTTGGGTTTTTTTAGTTCAAAGTCAAGTAAAGGCTCAAGGTCATATAAAGGCTCAAGGTTGGAGTCAGATGCAAGATCAGGTTCAGATTTCACTACACAGAATTCTGTGGGCTTCAGTTCTCAAGGGCTTCTTTGTTGATGACTATGTTGTCAGGTGCTAGACTAAACTGATATACATGTCTGATCAATCCTGGACAAGTGAATATGCAGCCAATAGTTCCCAGAGGCTTTACAATGAAGACTTCCAGGGATGAGCTTTAGACTGCAGTATCTGGAGTTTTTGGAGAGCAGAAGCTTCCAGGATCCTTCTCAATGACAGCCATATAGGAAAAAAATAACAGAACTACTGGAATTCCTAGGGCACTTGGCTAGTATGCGGCTAGCAGCTTCCACAGGGCACTGCAGGATTTACTTCATGAGCTATCCATTTTCCTCACCTTGACAGTAGCCAGAGTGATGCTTGTACTCAACTTGTTAAAACCTATGATCCTAAATTGGTGCCAGTCTTTCGTGTCTCATTCTGTCTCACAGAGAAAGCACACCAGATTATCATGAAAGATAAGGGTCAGGTGAGGCTACATAGGAAGTCACGCACAAGCTCTGGTCTCAGTGCCCAGGTTCATTCTAAGTTAAGATGTTTTTTTAATTTTAAGTCCCTTTTCATAAGAGTTTTGAGAAAGATAGGTCAAGATCTGATCCTATTGTCAGATGTTGTTTAGGACACAGTAAGGTTTCCTGTGTTGAGTCTTGCATTTTCCTCAAGCAGACATTAATGGAAGTAGTAGATATGGGGTATTTCTGGTGTCACCCTAAGGACATAGCTTTGTACTTCTTAAAGATACACTGTATAAGTTTGTGTCATAGTGGGGTTTTGGAAGGGGAACAGTGCAATACGGTACACATTTTATAAGACTTTTATAATGAATCACCCCAAGAATCATACACAAAGAGTATAGAAATCTGTCTACACACTGAAGACTCAAGAATCTAGCTGGGGGCCTGGATCCTGTAATATTGTCCTGCATGAGTCCAGCTGAAGACCTAGAGCCCACAACAGTACTTCATCAAGGCCTGTTTCAAGTATCTGTGCTGAGAAGTCCCAAAGGTCAGTGTATGGGGATCTGTTGGTCTCTCAGTGTGATCCATTCTACCTGGGGAGAAATGGCAGCAGGAATGAGGAAAAAATAGACAAGATAGGAGTTGGATTGGTGATGGCTTATCTGCCTGGTTGGTGAGATGACCCCCTAAGCAACAATATGGATATTTACATATATGTTTGCAAAGTTAGTAACACGTGACACAAGGTTGCTTGCTGAATAATAGCTGACATTAACCAGTTAGGATGCTTATCTCAGGACTGAGGTAGCTTGTCTGCTTTAGGCACTGAGCCCAGTCTTGCATACACACATTTGACCAATTTTCTAGCTTCAGTGGCTCCCAACATCAGTAGTAGAGCTAGAAAGTCTGTGCCAGTGGATGCAAGGTGTGTGATAACAGGCTGAGGGATCTGAACTGGAGCCAGGAAACTACACTCACATTAAGAACCAGAGGGGCCGTGACTGGTTGGGGGTTGGGCAGTGCTTGTGTCCAGCCCAGTCCACCAGGCCACCATGTCGAAGGTGTCCTTTAAGATCATGCTGATGTCAGACCCATGGCTGCCGTACAAAGTACTGAGTGTTCTTGAAAGTACACCTTTCACAGCAGTCTTAAAGTTTGCAGCAGAAGAATTTAAAGTTCCTGCAGCAACAAGTGCAATTATTACCAATGATGGAATAGGAATAAATCCTGCACAGACTGCTGGAAATGTTTTTCTAAATCATGGTTCAGAACTGCAAATTATCCCTAGAGATCGTGTTGGAAGTTGTTACTGTCTGCAGGGAACCTTTCAGAATAAAAACTGCTATTTTTATTTTGTTTGTAAAAGTGAAAACAGGCATTTAATACACAATGAGAACATGAAGAGTCAAGGAAACAATAAGAGGTAACTCTTATCCCTTTTTATTTGTATTCTTCACACCAAGAGGAAGTGCTTATGCATGGACAGTGCCACTGCCATGGAAAGTCATACTGTGGTGACTGCCACCTCACCAGTAGGGAGTTCGTTTGTGGCACGTGGATCATGCAACTATTTTATTACCTGAAAAATAATTCTGATAATTTTTTGTGAGTACATTTGGAAAATTAAAATTTCCTAAATGTGATATAATTGTCATTGAGTTAAAAATGTAGAAAGATTGATTATGGATCATAGATAACAGTTTGCTTGATAGAATGTTATATAGGCTCATTTAGATTCTTAACTATACATTTTGTAGTAAGTATAATAGACCTACCAATGAATATTTAACTGTTTTTGTCATGTGTGGCTTAAGTTTTCAAACTTAATGAGTCATATAAGTTTTAATTAAATATCAAAGAAATTTAATTTCTTGGTCTGACCATTATGTGCATAAACTATTGCCACATACAAAAGTTGTTAACATTTGTTAATTGTCATGTTGAGGGCTGACAGCACAGTAGAAGCATCTTTTGCTGAGCTATGCATTTCTTTAGGGTTATGTGTCTCTTCATCACTTAATACAATATTTTTATGACAAAAACCTTCAATAAATGACTCATTTTGAAAATAATATTTCTGAAAGAATATTGTTACAGAGAATATCTGAAGTTCAGCACAAAACTTGAAGAAGTACTGATCAGAAATCCTGCTGAGTTAAATTTATTGAAGACCTCTGAGGAAGTGCTAATCATCCAAGTGCATAACAAGCAAAGATGGGAGATGACCAGGCTGTGGCAAAAAGGAATGAGTGGTGTGGACAACAGTAATGGCAATAGGAAACTGTACAGAGCATCACAGAATGCCAGTGGGTCAGACAGAACTGTGGAGAGTACATTAGAAAAACTGAAATGGGAGCCGGAGAGATGGCTCAGTGGAATAAACACTTCCCTGGCAAGTGCAAGGGCCTGAGTTCAATCCCCGGTTCCAAAAAATAAATAAATAAATAAATAAAATAAAATAAAAAAAGAAAGAAAGAAAGAAAAGAAAAAGAAAAACTGAAATGGAATGCAAAGTAGTTGATAGAGTTTTAGAAAGCAAAGGATATTTCTTGTCCACCTACAGACTAGAAAATGCCCATTATGAGTATTCAAAAAGTCTGTCCATAACAAAGTAGTTTATTTCTGTTTACAGGGCAAGTCAGTATCTGTGCACAGTTTCAAAGCTGAACTGAAGGGTCATAGCGGTTCAGAATCATGGCTTGACCTACTGTGCTATAAATGGATCACTGTCTAGAGCTGGGGTTTTGTCTATCTGGTTATTCCTAGGGCTGGAAGTGTACATGTAAATGACTCACAGTTTATTCATGAAAAAAGCTTCTCTAAGACCAATATCTATCTTAGCATGTTTCAGTGTCGCTGTTGTGAGCCCCAGGTTCGCTTAGGACAAAACTACAATAAAATGCAGGACCATCGGCATCTCAAGGGTAGCATCAGTACTTGAAGAAATGAATGGTGTTTTTCACAAGCCTGATGAAAAAATAGCAAGATTGTCAATTATCAAAAGGAAGAAGTTTTGCTAAAGAATAAATGTATTATGTTTGGAATTTTTGATAAAATAAAATCTGATACGAAAAGGCTGCTGTTAGGCCTCACGTGGCCACCTATTTCAAAATTCCCAGTCTGAATTTTTGACTTCACTTTTTTTTCAGTTCTTTTAGCTCAAAAATCTACTTGACATTTCCATAGATAAGTTTATGTGCCATAAAATGATTTGTTTAATAATTTGGTTCCTTTGAAAATTAGGCTGCAGTTCTTATAGTATTTTGTTAAACAACTAGATTATATTGTTAAGTGTGGTCCATAAATTTTCTATGGAAAACGCTTTGAAATACTTTTTTTAATTTAAAGGTATTACTTGCCCATAATTATGAAAATATGATTTGTTACACTGTAAATCATATTGTCTGCTTTTATTTGAACTCTTAATCAGCACACCTACTCATCCTGTTTATTGCATATATCATTTAAATAGAACAATAGTGACAATTAAAAAAAGAACTAGAGCTCCCCTGAAAGTTACCATAGCCATTGTCAGGGACAGTCAGGTCCATAACTTCTCCAATGGTGAGGAAAGCTGAGTTCTCATTAGGAAAGTCAGCATGAGAAGCTTCTCCAGGAGGCTGAGCTGTGTACCATCTTCCCCTATGGAGCCAGGAAGTGATGCTCCAAGTAAGGACCAGAGCTCCCTCAAAGTGAACCATGGCCATTCTCAGTAACAAGGTTCTGAGTTTCTTTCATGACGAGAACAGCCTAGTTCATCAGGAAAGCCAAAATGACAAGCTCTCCTCCAAGAGAACCAACAGCTCCCTACAGCCTCCTACAGCTTCCCAACAGCCTCTGAACAGCTCTTCTTCTCCTGCTCTGCCTCTCATGCTGCTGGCAACAATCCTCAGGTGGGCCTTCCACATCCAGCACCACATTGATTCAGTTTAGCTGGGATTAACAAATTGACCACCAGTTTTCAATCCACTACAGTTTGAGGGTTATAGCACAAGGATTTGAGCTCACAGTTCTGCAGTTCTCAACAAGTGATCCCTAATAATTATTTGGCTAGTTCCAGATGTGTTTCATGTTTATTCTCTCTACCTATTTTCCTTAGAATCTCTCATATACGGTATTTTGGAAAGTTCTAGCCTGACTGAACCAATCTCAGTCAATCCCTTTTACTTTCATAAGAAAAGATAGGGAATTTCCACACTTCTTTGTGTTTTAGTAGGAGCATTAAGTAACGATGGCTTAGAGATAATTGTAGTAGGATTGGAAAGGCAAGTATAATGGCAGTCTTATACAGAATGGAGTCTATCTCACTTGAAAGTTTTCTGATCAGACATGTATATAGTCCATTGTATATTTTCTAAATTGCAAAAGAAGACAGCCTACTGGCATGTGAAAATCTGTCAGAATACCCAACACCATCCTTGGCAGACCTTAGAGGAAGAGAAAGGTGCTGGCACCACCCCCACTAGCTCCCCGAAGCTCAGAGGAGGAGCTGCCAGCAGGTGAAACATGGGGAGGACAGCTGTTTACTTATCTTCTACAGTGGGACTAAACTGCTTCCCTATACTTCAGAGAGTGACCTCAGTGACTACTGTGACTTGAATGGTTGAGGAGGGTGCCCCTTAGGCCTCCCAGGAAACATGCAGAGTCATAAGCCCATCCCACTCTCTGCCTGTGAGCTTTTCTGTGTCCAGCAAGGTTCAGATACCTAGTAGAGAGGCGCCTGTGTGGAAGGTGGTCACCAAGGAAGGGACCACTTGAGGAACAGTTGTGGGTGGGACCCTCTAAGACTTCACACTGGTTGTCTCATGCTATCCAACCACTTAGGAACAGCAGGAAGAGGGCCCGGAGAGAAAGACACAAAAACTCAGGGAATACCTCAAATGGTAGAGCTGCCTGAAAAATATAGGACCCTGGGAAGTGGGCATTATCAGTATTTCTTTGAGGATGGCTTGAATATGGCAGAAAGTTGGTCCATGAGAATAGGGAAGTCTCAATAGCAGCCCCTGCTGGCATAGTCCTGGTACTCTGTTCCTGCCACTTCATGAAGGCACCAACTCCAGATCCCAGAAGGTGGGGTGGCAGCAGGAACACTAGTGGGATAACTGAACAAGGCAGGGAATTCTTGGAGCCCTTGGGCCAGCTGTTGTTGACAGAAGTCTCATAGTAACCATGGTTTAAATCTAGAAGAATTGCATTTTCCTCTGAGCTAGTGTAGTGCAGAGGAAACTGGCTCCTTTTCACTTTAGGGTTTCAGATGGCAGGCTCCACAGCAACCATGACAGCCCCACTCCAGTCAGAATGAAGAGGTTTACAGCCTTGCAGGTGCCCAGCTCCCATCTCCCATCTTACTGCCTAAACTTAGTCACATGGCTGCTCCTCAATTGTAGGGAACTAGAAAATATAATTCCTTGGGCAGTCACATGCCCAGGCAGAAGGAATGGTGGAGGGTGTCACATCAAAGAAGGGATATTTATAGACATCTTTCAAGACACTGCTATCTCATTTACAAGAAGCAAGAGTGAGACTCATGACACTTGACCAGCTTTGGCTGGTTGGGCTTAGGAATCTTGTACAAACCACGATGCTGAGAACCAGGAGCCATAGTATCAAATGACACAAGTTGACTGGAAAAGACTACATGGTGTATAAGTCCAAGTATCTGATGTTCTGAACAGGATAGAGCTGAGATCACAGGAGAAAGATCAGCATTTGGGGAAGGAAAGGGATAGAAAAGTGGAGCACGGGGAATTTTGGGGGCTCTGTCTATGTTACTGGTGAATGCATGTCATCCTGTCTTTGCTCAAACTCATAAGTAACAGCACCCTGAGAGGGAGTCCTCTTGTAAACTATGACTTCTGGGTGGTGAAGATGTGTCTATATATGTCACTGACTTCTGGCTCCTCATTGGGTCTTCTCTCCCTTGTGGAATTGGAAATCAATTCTGAGTGCTGACTGAGCAGCAAAGGGGATTTTATTTTTGGTAGGGAACAAGAGAAGTGGGTGTTACACAGAGAATAGGAGAAGAGGGAGAAGCTACCTTCTCCTTAGCACGTTCTTCCAGTCCTCCCATGGTGTACTCTGAACAGAGAGGATAGAATCTATACCACGATCTCTGAGGATGGAGACATTGTGTGTGACATCTCTAACATGAAACTACAGTGATGATCAGTTCTGGACTCAGAAGACTTGGCCTTAGTGGGCCTAATCCCACTTCTAGAATCATTCCTCCACTGGGGCTGAGGCCTTAGGTATAAAATATGGCTCTTTTCTCCCTTTAATGAGTTCTCAAAGCCTCCTAAGATAATAGCCTTGAGGTGGACTACAGAACCAGCAGGAAAAGGGGACAGTGGGATGGGCTGGAAGATGTGCTGAGCAGCTAAGTATCTGCTCTCAAGAAGGCCTGGGATAGTGGGGAGGGGACAACCTC